GGATACATTGGATACGCTGCATTATCGCCTCCGCAGAAAACGCCGCCGCTCAGCGCGTCACTTCCCGACGTGAATTCATCGGCTTCCGCCGCGCCGCCGACCACTCGGGGCGGCAGTTATCGCCCCCCGCGCGGCCTGTCCGGACAGCCTGCGAGGCCCCTCTAGCTTTGGGGCCTTCTTTGGACCGCCCTGCCGCCACCCCCGGGCCGTTGCTAAGGTTTCTGGGGCCTTCGTGGGTCGCGGGGCCTTTTCGGAGAGTCTCTTGGGGTGCCAGAGATCGATCTTGGAGGTTTGCTGGGCCGTTGCGGGCCTCGTGGAAGCCCGAGATGCGAACGTGTTGAATGTGCGCTTTCCGAAGGGACTGGGGCGGTTTCTGCTTCTGGAGGCTTGCTTGCAGCGCCTCGTGGTCGCGCGTGCAGCGTCTTGGGCGCCCATGGGGTTGTCTGGAGGTAATTCTGGGCGGTTTGGACCGAATCGCCCCCCGCGTGGGGCGTCTTGGCTACCTTTGGGAGCCCTCTTGCCTCGTTGTGGAGCCCTCCTGGGGCCGCCCTGCGGCTTCCCTGGGCCGCTGCCATGGTTTCTGGAGACTTCGCGGATCGCCCAGAAGCCCCATTGGAGCTGTGGGGGGGGCCCCTTCGGGTGACAGGGGTCGATTTTGGAGGTGTATTGGGCAGTTGTGGGTCTCGTGGAAGCCCAAGAAGCGAACGTGCTGAAAATTCACGTTTTCCTTCCAGGGAATGGGGCGGGTTTTTGCTTCTGGCTGCCTGCTTGTAGCACCTCGTGGTCGCGCGCGCAACGTCTTGGACACCCATGGGGCCGTCTGGCGGCGATTTTGGGCGGTTTGGACCGAATCGCCCCCCGCGTGGGCCGTCCGGACAGCCTCTGGTGGCCCTCTTGCCCCGTCTTGGGGCCTTCTTGGGGCCGTCTTGCGGCTTTCCCAAGCCGTTGCCATGGTTTCTAGGGCCTTCGTGGATCGCCCGGGCGCCGTCGTGGAGCCTTTTTGAAGGCGTCTTCGGCTGGCGGGGGTCGATCTTCGAGGTTTATTGGGCCGTCGTGGATCTCGTGGAAGCCGAATGGGCGAATCTGGTGAGAATGTACGTCTTCCTTTTCGGAAATGAAGCGATTGTTGTTTCTGGAGAGCTTCTTCGGGGCGCCTCGTAACATTCTCCCACTGGAGACTCACGGGGCCGCGTGGAGGCAATCTTCGGCGTTTTGGGACGATCTTTTGTGGACTCGTAGCTCTCTTAGACCGTTCCGGGCACCTTTGGAACCTTTTTGGCTTGTTTTGGGGCTTCCTGAGGCCCCATGCGCGTGGATGATGGACCCCCCCCCCAAAAAAAAACACGGCCGGACCGGGCCCCTAGGAGAGGGGTCTTGGGGGGGCATCTCACGCGCCGTGACCCCCAGGGGTCGGCGGATTTTTCGAGACTCCTCTTGGACAGTACTGCGTTACTGAATGTTGTAACCGTTTCTGTGACATACTATGATATTACCATATGATTGCAATGATGGACGTTCTGGTTTGTCTTCTTTGATCTGCCTTCGCCTATTCGATTTCATTTCGTATAATTTGGCGCTGAGGACATAAAAAGCACACCGGTAGGTCGGCCGCCAAGAACATTATAGATGTTGATACATTTTACTTCCATGAGAAATCGGAAGACACAGAGTACGACACATGCAAAGCATAATTCTCATGACGCGCGCGATGGAGAAAAAAAAAAACAAAAAAAAACGCCTTCTTTCACGTTGTCATGTTGACTGTATATTCTTTCTTTACGAGGCGCCTCACATTATCGATTTTACGTGGCATATTGTGCATCTTTTGAGGCCTGCAGCGCCTCGCAAGTTGCAGGTACCCCCACATAGATCAGTTGTCCTCACAACTCTCTTAATACGCGTGAATTCGAGATCGGAGAGCCCTGGCAATATTGTTGGGCCCGGAGGGCCCCCTGTGAATGAAATGGTCCTTTTTACTTTGATCGAGTTGTTGTCACAACTCTGATCCGTCGTATCATGATACCCAACTTTTGCGCAATCTCACGGTGCGCCGGTGGAGATACCTGCATCGAAGGACGCAGTTGTGTTCTCCATTTGATCTTCTCTCCCACGCTCTCCCAGCCTCGTTACCTGTGGTGGCGGGGAATCGTCCAGGCGTGCCAAAGCGTTTTTCCCAACCATCCTGTGGTGTTGGGTCCTTGTTTTGAAGAGACAGCGCCCCGCGTTCACTCCTCCTCCTCCTCCTCCTCCCGCTGCCCCCTCCCTCCTGCCATCATCATCATCATCACCATCATCATCATCATCACCATCATCATCATCATCATCATCATCATCATCATCATCATCATCATCCCCCCTCTTCCCTGCGCTTCACCCACCCAGTACAGCTTTTCGTAGCCCCATAGGAGCTCCACCGAAGGCACCAGTGCCCGCGCCCGCATGCGTCAGCCACACCCATTTCGGCACACCCCTCACACATTTCGTGGCTCCATATGGGGGC